GAGAGAGAGGGAGAGAGAGGGAGAGAGGGAGAGAGGGAGAGAGGAGAGAGAGAGAACAATGAGAACAATGAGATAGGGAAAGAGAGGATGAGACAGATAAGAGACTGAAAGAGAAAATAAAAGAATGAGAAACAGCTTCACACACAGAATGAACAAGCTTCCTCGTTCAGATTTAGAAGAGAGAATGAGAGAGAGAGAGAGAGAGAGAGAGAGAGAAGTGGGGACACAGAGAGGGAGAGGATAGCCCTTCCAAATCAAATACACACTCTCCAGCTCTGTTCCCCTACAGTCTGAGTTCTCTGGTGTCAGTGTCCCTCAGTCTCTCCCCCCCCCCGCTCCCTCCCCCGACTCCGGGACAATGTGGAGACTGTATTTTCAGGAGCCGCGCGGGACAGCAGCGTTTTTAGCAGCAAGCCGGGCTCGCAGTTCTGTTTGTCCAGGTGTGGGCGGGGGGCGGCTGTCCCCCAGTCTTGGGCTGACGCTGAGTTTTCGCACCAAGGAAGCGGGAGGCTCTCCCCTCGCGCTTCCCGCTTCCAGGGGAAAACTCCCTCCCTCCTTCCATACATAAATATATTAGGGGAACAGACAAATCTTCATTGTTCAGAAATAAGCTGAGGAGGCCGGCCGGCTCCCCTCGGTCCGGCCTAGCGTGGCTGGAAAGAGGGAGGGAGAGAGGCGGGGGCCATTCGGATCCGGTGTCACGTTGCAGATTCCCACTAAAGATAACGAAACGTGATCTATTTTTCAGAACAGCAAGTGGATGGGAAAGAACCTTGACAACACAAAACTCATTTACTAATGGACTGGTTTTGGGTTTCTCTTCTCCGGGTCCGCAAACCTCCCTGCCCGAGCCCTCCGCCTATTCAGAGCTTGCGGGGAGCGGCGTCCCCCAGGAGGCAGGTGGGCGGCTGCTCCGGCGCCTCGCGGGCCGTCGGAGACCGGGATCCTAAGGATCGAGGGCACCCGGAGTTCCCGACCGAGCAGAGGAAAAAGATGAATGTTGTCACTTCAACCAGGATTTGGGGAGTCCCCGCACTGCCCCAGAGGACACCTCTCGATGCCTTCCCTTCCAAATATCTGTAGGTAGAATAGGATCCCCACTGTCGTTCTTGTTGGCGAAGGAATTCCAAGAAAGCGGGCCGGGAGCCCCAAAGCATCTCTCTCCAAGCCAGAGGGAAACAAGTGGGTCCCAGCCAGAGGTTTTTAAACCAAGGCCTTAAGTCAACCCAGCCAGAAATCCCAGCAGCAACTAGTGCCTGTGTGGACCTTCCGTAGACCAGTTGTGCACATTCCAGCCGTTACCTGCACAGAAGAGACAGAAGAACTGAAACCTGGCGTCGGGCACCCCTCGCCAGCCGCGTTCCCCTCGGGAGCTGCGATGCGGCGAGGGCATCAGTTAGAGTTGCTCTTTCCCTTTAAATCTTCGACGCATCTCTGTTTTTCGTGTGATTTGCATTGACAGCAAAGGTTTTAAGTTACTAGAACAACTCAAACCTTTCTGTGTGCGATTTAAAATGGATCATTTGGTTTATGTGGTTTGTAAATTCATGTCATTTTACCTCTTTTAGTGGTTTCAGTGAAAGGTTCCATTTTGGGAAACCTTATATATCCGAGTCAATAATTAACATTTATAACAATTGGTTCCCCTAACCAAGGGATCGAAATAGCAGGTAGGCTCGTTAGTACAAAGGGAATAGCACTTTTCCTTTCTAGTTATGCTATCTGTTGGATGAAACGCAAGCAGAAAGGGTGGCGGACCCGGGAACTGCCTGAGAGGATGAGCACCACTTCTCATCAACCCCGGTGCCCGCAATCACGGCATCCACAGGGTCGTCTGCCCACTTGTCGCCAATGTCTAGAATGTCCTGGTTCCTTTTGAAGAGAGGTGAAAAGAAGTGGGCAGGGAGGTCTGGAGGAAGCTGGAAGAAAGGTGGTCATATTGGTGGCTAATCGCCATCTCTTTGCTCTCTCTCATCCCCTGTAAATTTATACCTGTCCTTATTTGTCCAAGTTATGCCTCATTTCCGTATACAAAATTGTTAATTATAAAGTACACCCCATACTCAACTTACCGTTTGTCTTTTAAGAGATGTGGGAGATGTGGCTGTACTTACAGACACTTATTACCCCCCCACCCCCCTCACACACTGTAATTCTGCGCACTTGCTCCAGACTTTAGGGTATTAACTGAGTTTTAGAGCTGAGTTTAAACTCCGCTCCGGTCCGCACACAGCTGCCATGTCAATAAGGACTGTTCCAAGCGGAGACATTCCTTCTGGCAGGACACTGCCGCTTCTTAAGACTTCATCTGAATCATCATGAGTACTAAAATAAGACGGGGAGGGAAAATTACCAGACACATGGACTTCAGTTCAGCCGTGCCAGGCTTCCAGTTTAGAAAGTAAGTCACTGGGCACACCATGTGGTAGGGGCTCTTTTGAAATAATACGAACCCATTAAATGCACTTAAAAATAATTCTAAACGTAATGAAACATCAGCATCTGTTTCCAAGGTCTAATTGCATGGGATACTGCAGAGTTTCAAGGATGTAAAAAGCATTGTGTGGGGGAGTTCAGCAGAAAAGCAGCTTCCCTCTACTTGGAATCTCTGGAGAGGCAGCCAGAAGGTGGAAACCCTTCATGAGTTTAAAATGGACATTGCAGGGCACACTGGACTGGGTGCATTATTTTAAAACCATATAAATAATACAAGGGGAAACCCACAAGGTGCTTCTTATTCTCCCACTTATGTCTCAATATGCAAAGGGTTCTGTGGAGCTAGGCTCTGGCTGATGGAATAAAAACATATTTAAAGAAGACAAGCAAGTTTAAAGAGCCTAGAGTTTGTTCTTTGCATTCACTAAGGGTGCATTTAAATCAAAAGCATTTTTTGAAGTGTACTTACAATTCTGTTTCGAACTTATCTAATCAGAGATAAGTATAGTCATAAAGTCACTCTCCTTCCACCATTGGCTCCCCTTATCTCAACACATTGTTCTTATCTTCTACCAGTCTTAGCTACTGACAATAGATTATCTTTGTTTATAGACACTAATTGTTTTCAAAATCTTTTTAGTAATTGCTTTGGAACAAGGTGTGCAAATGAGGCTTAAGATAATTAGAGCTTCATTTGTTTGTGCAGTTTTACTAAGCATTCTCCACACATACACAAAGTAAGAGATGATGGGACTGAAATTGCAAGGCATCTCTCATTCTCTGGCAGTAAAATAGGCCAGCATTGCAATCTACACACACACACACACACACACACACACACACACACGCACGCACGCACGCACGCACGCACACCTCTTTATTTAATCTTGGAGCCACTGTTGTCCTCGCTTTGAGGGAAGTGTCCCTCTCAGAGTAGGACAAGGATTATATTACAACCAGACGGCTATTGGAGCGGGACACAGTTTTATTTAATTTACACCCCATCCAGCGCCTTTCGTACGAGATTCCGAAAGCATTTTTGCTAACAGCAAATAAAGCTTCTCGGCATTCCGCAGTAGCAGAAGTGGCCTTGGAAAGAGCAACCGCACAGATAGGGAAACTGAGTCCAACAGTCTTCAGGCTTAAACCATAGAACATTAAGATGCCAAATCACAAATCAACCTTCTGCTCCCCGACTACGTTCTCATCAGCTCTTCGCGTGGTCCCAGTCACGGGCTTCTGAGAATAAGGGAAGCCCTAACCAGCTGGGAGTACACATGCCTTTTGGAGGGCTGTTGGGGCGTGGGGATGGGTGGTGTGGAGAAGGGAGGAGGAAATTAGGTTTGGCTCCAGGAGCTGAAGCCAGCCCAGAGAGAAGCCACTTTTCCAGCGGCTGCAGCTTGAAGCTCTAGTCTGCTCTTGTATTATTTATCTCGTCCCATAAGCTATTCATCAATCCATTATTTATTCATTCCAACATTAAGGTAATTAAATATGAGCTCACCGGGAAAGGGCAAGTCTGCAAGGGACAGGGACAGAGGTACAAAGAGAGAGGAAGGGAATTAGAAGGTCTGGAGTCATTGATTTGCGTAGAGATGTGCGCGGCTGCCCTTAGGTGACACTGGAGAGGGGGCTCACGTTGCAGGGTCCTGACGCTCTCACCCACTCCCGCCCCCGGGCAGTTAGGCTCCATCCTAACCCCCCTCCCCGCCCTCCACCTCGATTCCCACCTCTCCGGGTCCTTCTTCTCTCACCACTCCCAATCCCCCACTCCACAGCCTCGCCCTCCCCGCGCAGGGCGGCGCAGCCTCGCGGCCCAGCCCGGCGGCGCGCGGGCTGGCCTGCCAGGGATAGGCGCCGCCCGCAGCCAATCAGCGCGCCAGGGACGCTGCGCGCTTTAAGGCAGCTGCGGAGAGAACAGAAACCAAGTTCCCCGGTAACGAGCAGCATCCACCCGGCGGGAGGCTGGAGCCAGCGAGGCCCAAAAGGCTGCGGAGTGAGCCGGCCGCTCCGTGTCCTGCGTGCGCCTCAGTACTCCTCCTCCTCTTCCTGGGCCGTCCATCCTTCCCAAATCTCGACTTGCTTTTTCGGCTAGGGAAAGCCTAGGGAGGGGGTTAGGAGCAGCCGCGCCCCCCTCCCTGCTGCCGCCGCCCCTTGCTTTTTCGGCTCTACTCCCTGCCGCGTGCGTCCGGGCAGTGCGCCTCGGCAGGCCCCAGCCATGTCGATGCTGCCGTCGTTCGGCTTTACGCAGGAGCAAGTGGCATGTGTGTGCGAGGTTCTGCAGCAAGGCGGGAACCTGGAGCGCCTAGGCAGGTTCCTGTGGTCGCTGCCCGCCTGCGACCACCTGCACAAGAACGAGAGCGTGCTCAAGGCCAAGGCCGTGGTCGCCTTCCACCGCGGCAACTTCCGCGAGCTCTACAAGATCCTGGAGAGCCACCAGTTCTCGCCTCACAACCACCCAAAGCTTCAGCAACTGTGGCTGAAGGCGCACTACGTGGAGGCCGAAAAGCTGCGCGGCCGGCCCCTGGGTGCCGTGGGCAAATATCGGGTGCGCCGAAAATTCCCGCTGCCGCGCACCATCTGGGACGGCGAAGAGACCAGCTACTGCTTCAAGGAGAAGTCGCGGGGCGTGCTGCGGGAGTGGTACGCGCATAACCCTTACCCCTCGCCGCGTGAGAAGCGGGAGCTGGCCGAGGCCACCGGCCTCACCACCACCCAGGTCAGCAATTGGTTTAAGAACCGGAGGCAAAGAGACCGAGCTGCGGAGGCCAAGGAAAGGTACGCGGCGTGCTTCCCGCTGCTGGGGCGACCCCGAGATGCCTTCTTTTCCCCTCCGCCCCTTCCCGCCCCCGCAGGCCCTCGCCACCGCGTCCTCCCCGCCTGCCGGAGCCTGTCCGCCGGGCGGCGCCCGGTCCTCCGCGGCACTGCAGCGAAAGTTCATGAACTCTGAGATGGCTAGCTAGGGATGGGATCTCGTTTGATTTGAGCGCCCGCGCGTGGGCTTCTTGGGTTGTGAGTGTCGGGAAATATTGGCGCTAGGTTTGTTTTTCATGCCTCCTTGGCTGGCTGGGGCTAGGAGTGGGGGGTGGAGAACGAGTTTCTAGATCAACTAGAAGGGAAGTGTTGATTGGTAACGCGAGGAAAGGGGTTCGGTGGGGGCTGAGGGTCGCGAACCTCTCTCCTCTTGCTAGCGGGAGCGGTGGAACTGGCCTGAGACATCTGCTCTGTCCCCACTACCGCCCCGAGCTTGACTCGCGCTCTCCGGCGAGTCTTTCGGGCGAGAGGTCGCCGCTTCGTTCCACACTAGCCTTACAAAGGGAGGAGTCTCTCGAAAATCCACAGAAAAGAGAGCTTTGGGAGAGGTGGCGCTGCATTTACTCCCCGGCGCCCCGAGCCCAGGAAGGATTGTTTCTCTCCGGGAATTCTCGCGCGTGGTCGGGCGCCGCAGCCAGTCCGTCTGGTTGTCCGCGCCGCCGCGCCGGACGAGTCAGGGGTCTCAAGTCGCAGGCTTCTCTCCAAGCCTTAGAGCTCAGAAGGCAATATTTTAAAAACCTATCTGTGCCTCCGCCCTCCTCGCGTCGACACCCGCGGCCACCTGGCCCCGCTCCATCCGTTCACTGTAGAGTTTCCGACCGAGATTCGGAAGAGCGTGGGGGCGGCGGCGGCGGCGTCTGGGAGAGCGCTCCGGGAAGCCGAAGAGTTTGGGGGAAACTGAAGAGTTTGGGGGAAACCTGAGCGCCGAGCCGGCTGGATTTCCTTTGTTCGCTTCCGAGCCTGGGGGGCCGAAAATGTCGCCTCCGCGTTCCACTCAGGGTGGCAAAGCACAGAACCTGGATACATTCAGCTGAAATGGGCTTTCTGGGAGAGACTGTGAGAGAAGGTGAAAGGGGGAGACAGCCAGGCTCTCCCGGTGGGGAGGACAGGCGAGCACTGTGAAGGCGGAAGCAGCGAGGGATTCCGAATCGTGAAGTTGACTAGCATCCAGAACCACCAGGTGCCGGCTCACAGGCTGTGCGGGGGCGAGAAGTTTCCCAGGCGGGGAACGGTGCGCTGCTGTGGATGTCCGTGGGGAGTTTGAGAGGGGGACGTGAGGGACTAAGGATTAAGTGAGTAACACGGGGACCGGGACAGTACGGTTCCAGTTAGAATTTAATTACAAAACGGCGGTCCTACAAGCCAGGCCCGAGGGCCCACTCCTTGATGAAATCGGAGAGACTGGCTGCGCTCCCTGTGTTTACTCAGGTCACTGGGCCGCTCTGGACACCACTTCCCATGACCTGTCCTGTATCTCTGAAACCACAACCTCGGGGCAGGGGCAGGGAAACTCGACGTTTAATTGTTTCCTCAGATGGAAACAGGACAATTGACTTGATTCACCCCAAACTTGTGTGCATTGGGCACTGTTTGTCCCCTGATCATTTTCTTCATCACCAACAACCATTTGTAGGAAGATTTTCAAACTTAGTTACTTCTACACGTGGTACTAGTTTGATAGGTATTTAAAAATAATTGTTTGGACAAAAATGAAAAAAAAATGTGTGTTTCAAATGAGCCCTGCTGCTCTGGTTTTCTAAAATCTGGAAGAGGTAGGGACCTTGCTCCCCAGGAACTCTGTCTCATAGCTCCCAATTTCTCCAGTCTCCTCAGTCGCTTCTCTTCCCCCAGGACTTTTGGGGGAATGGGTGGGAGGGCAGAGCTCCTCCATTTGGGTGGATGACTAATTGCACAATGGCCCTTTCCTCCTTCCAGCTCCCCTCCCTCCATCTCACACTTTTTTTAACTTACTTTTTTTTTTAACCATATGGTGTTGTCCTCTATTTCTTAGGGAGAACACTGAAAACAATAACTCCTCCTCCAACAAGCAGAATCAACTCTCTCCTCTGGAAGGGGGCAAGCCGCTCATGTCCAGCTCAGAAGAAGAATTCTCACCTCCCCAAAGCCCAGACCAGAACTCGGTCCTTCTGCTGCAGGGCAATATGGGTCACGCCAGGAGCTCAAACTATTCTCTCCCTGGCTTAACGGCCTCACAGCCCAGCCACGGCCTGCAAGCCCACCAGCATCAGCTCCAGGACTCCTTGCTGGGCCCGCTCACCTCCAGTCTGGTGGACTTGGGGTCCTAAGTGGGGAGGGACTGGGGCCTTGAAGCAGCAACTAGAGACACTTGTAAATAGAAATCAGGAACGTTTTGCAGCTTGTTTCTGGGGTTCTTTGCGCATAAAGGAACGGTGGACTTTCACAAATATCTTTATAAAACTCAAAACCAACAGCAATCTCAAGCTTAGTCACCTTCTTCTCTCT